TTTCCGAGGCAGTATCACTGGGAGGTAGATTGCCCAACCTTCCTCCTGAGGAGTGGCTGGTGGGTTTGAACCGCCAGCCTTCTGGTTAGCAGTCAAGTGCCTTAGGCACTATGCTACCAGAGCTCCTCATCCAAATACACATGTAAAATAACTCTGTCTTTCTTCTCGACTATCTATGTAGTACACAAACTATGAACTTGGTAAGGAGCCCTGGTGGTGCAGTGCTTAAGCACTCAGCTGCGAGCCAAAAGGCACGTGATTTGAACCTACCAGCTGCTCCACTGGAGAAAGATGAGGCAGCTGCTTCAGTAAAGATTACAGCCTTGAAAACCATATGGGGCACTTACACTCTGTCCTACAGGGTCGCTGTGAGTTGGAATCCACTTGATGGCAGTGGGTTTGGACTTTTTTTTTTTAATATAATGAACTCAATGGGTAAGTATACATTGGTTTTGGAAATAGGATTAGCAATATGTAAAACTGGCTTCTTTAAAAAAATGAATGTGAAATGCCTATCTACTCAGATTAAGAGCAGAGTTTTGGGAAGAAATTGGGTTAAAAGCCCTGCTCTGCTACTTACTAACTGCATGGTCTTGGGCAAATGAATTCCGTGAGCCTCAGACTCACCATCAAATGGAGGTAATATATCATAGGCTTGTTGTAAGAAATAAATAATATATATGAAGAGCCTAACATAGTGCTTGGTAATGGGAGCAACATCACCCATTCTCCTATACACAAACTCCATAAAAGATTTAAGAGTATGCTATATTCGTGTTAGGACAGAAAATACAGTTTCAAACAACTTTATATTTTAAATAAATACTTGGGGCTACAAATAGAGGAACTTTGTAAGGGTGATGACTATGAAGACCAAAACTTAATGCCAAAAACTGAAATAATTTTCTCTGGAAATGTATATGGAAAGATCTTTATGGAGCAACCATATGGTCATTTAAGTGTTCTAATTCTAGCTTCATGATTCTGAAAGTTTTATTTCTAATAAATGCTAGAATGAAGTGCTAACAAGCACAAATTCCAGTAAATGCTACACTTTCATGTTCTTACACAGGCCAGCACCCAAAGGCATTACTGAGGCAGGCACATAGTTAGGAGATTAAGCACCAGTGCTGTAACCACCATAGCCCCTAAAACTAAAAACATTCAGAACTAATTTGGTTTAGCCTCCTCTCATGTGGCAGTGAAATGTTTTACAGATGAGACAACTGTGATTGTGAGCTTATAGGGCCTGCCCAAGGTCACACAGTTATTAAGTGGTGGAGAAGAGTCCAAAATTCTGGGGGTTTGTGCCTCTGAGCACAGCACACTACAGCACCATCCCAGGTATTCTTTGGTCGTGGGATGATCTGAAAATCAAGAAGGCTGTATAATAGGTTCCTCAGTTCTATTTGCTTGACCTAAGTAGACCTAGCCTCTGGGATAACATTTATTTAGTTTAGCCTCTCTCATTCCAAAAGGACTAGCAAGTAGCTAGCTCAGGAAGCAACTGAAAACATATACAGGCAAGTCTGCAACAGATGCACGTTAGGATACCTAGGTAGTCCTGGTGGCATGATAGTCAAGCACTCAGCTGCTAACAAAAGGTCACAGGTTTGAATGCACTAGCCACTCAGCATCCCTATAAAGCAGCTCTGTCCCACCGGGTTGCTAAGTCAGAATCAAACTGACAGCACACCACCACCACCACCACACAGTGGACTTATGGAAACTTTAATCTTGCAAATGTGAATTTTTAAAAGTTAAAAAAAGCTCTTCCAAAATTCTTATTTTTAACGTCCTGAATTTTGAATTGTTTTTAAAATCAGAATGGTACCCACGTCTTTTTCTACATAGTCCAGGTACAATTTAAGTAAAATATTTCTAGTTGTAAAAATTAAATTGTTACCTCTGCTTATCAATTATGCCACATTTACACATATGAGTCATTTAATTCAGTTAATGATTGTGATGCTTACCTCTGCACTGTAGGTTAATTTCACAGAAGGTGTGTCCTGGCAAGGAAGAATTGCTCTGCAGTGGATGGCCTGGGAGGGGAAGCAGAAAACAGAAGTAGCTATTTTCCATTCTTACGGATCAAGTCATTAAAAAAATACTAAAATTACAGCATTATTCTTAGATATGTTCTTTTAAAAATAAAAATTACATCTCACATTTCATGAAGTCTTTTCAAGTAGCAAAACTTAATGTGTGAATAGTAAAATGTAATTCTCTATTTTAATGTGTGGTCCAGCCCTCATTTTCAGTTGAAAAATGAAGCAAACTGTTATGCAGTGCTTCTTATTCTATGCTTTGAGTAAGAGTAGTGTCCAGTAAGAAGCTCCTAGCAACCCTGAGAAAACTGAGTTTTTTGTCAAATAAATTTGAGAAGCATGGCATGCTATCTACCTGCCTTGGAGAGTAACTAGGCACATTAGTCTTCTGGAGGTTCTGAAAAGACCTGCAGCAAAGAAACCTGCTCAATTTCTCACACTTCTTTTAACATCAAACTGTTTTTCCCCCTCTGGTTAGTTATTAACATCTAACAGAACACCAGGCTTCTGAGGAACACAACCTGAGAAATGTGGTGTTGTCTTGGTATTTTCAATTCTGCAACACTTTGAAACTAAAAACAAGGAAGCAAAGGTGAGAGAAAACACAATCACTCTCAACACAACCTAGACATGTTCAAATAACATGCAAAATGTTTCTCTGCATCCACATTAATCTGTCATAAACATTGGTTCAATCCAGATGAATGGCCAGAGTACCTGTGATTTTACACCTAGCCTGTCTACAGTAAGTCTATGTTGATTGCTGGCGAGCTAAGGAACCCCGGTCTCATTAATACAGGTTCTACCGAGCTTAAAGGAATACTGATACTAATAGCACTCTCTGAAGCTGTTTGAAATCCTATGCATACTTCATTCCACTACAAACTTCCTTAAAACCCCCAAACTCCAGGCCTTTTCATTTCAGATCTAGAAAGTCCCCATTTCAGATCTAGAAAGTCTAGAAAGTATGGGCTCCTGAACAACTTCTTGATAAAGTAGGACTAGAAGGACCACCTGATCCTCTTTCCCAAAACAGAATTCCAGGACCATGCCTCTAAAATTCTCTAATGGCCCCTTGCTGCATTTGGTCTTGCATATATCTCATTGTATAAGACTAAATATAGAGAGAACAACTGTAAGAAAAGTCATCAAACAAAATCACACCTGTATATTTCCTATCAATTATAATAATTTATTCATTTAATTGAGATCTCTTTCCTATATTTCCAACACTGCTGCCAATATGAAATGCAACAATATAAAATTCATATGCTGTGTGATTCACATATCTTGCATTTCTTGCTTAATTTAGCTTGTGGACATTATATGAGAAATACTGCCTGAGAATCAGATCTTACTAAATAATAAAGGGTGCACAATTTATACATTCTTACCAAGAACATCACATCTCTTCTAAATTAATAATCTAAGGGTTTCTTCAATTAAGGAGATATTTCAATTGACAACAGAAAGTAAACATGATGAATTAATGTGCTGATATTATTTCTTTTAAGTTAGACTCTACCACAGTATCTGTCACACATGAATCTGAGGAGGCAAAATACTAAGCACAGTACTTGGACAAATACTCACTCTCAGCCGTCGAGTCGAACCC